AAAAAAAAAAAAAAAAAAAAAGAAGAAGGAAAAAACTGAGGATGAAACTGGAGGTAACGGCGTAGAATTGGAGGAGCCGGCGCGGCTGGCTACTGGCTGCTGCACCTTACACGCTATTTCAACGAGCATGCCGAAATTCGTACCAACGCCACATACGCAATAAGTATAGATACCGAAACCAGCCGAAATTTAATGTTAATGATACGCTTAACGGCTGCACGATGCATCAAGTAAATTTCCTTTCTTACCGAATCTCTAAATTATATCCGCGTGCATTACTCCATTCGCCAACGGGACTGAATAACGTAAGAGCTCCTAAATCCTGGCTCCGTATTTCGCCTCCGTTAACCCCCGGTGCACTAGAAGCTGGAGCAACATATCACGGGGTTGTAACGCGAGGTGCTAGAAAGGGGCAGGATGACGACGACGACGACGACGACGACGACGGCGACGAAAGACAAAGACGCTGCCAATGAGTGCCGTGGCTTTTCGTTAATTAACGACACATCATCAGTCGTCGCAGTTGCTGTGCAACTTATTGTGTCGCGTGACGAGCAATCTTCGCTTTGATTTTTCATTCTCGTTTCGCAACGACCGCGCGCCTATTAAACCCAAACATCCCCGTACGACAAGCACGAATTCACGCAATTTCTTTCTTTTCATTTTCACCGCCAAACTTTCACCGCTCGTTTGTTACTCATCCACCTTTCGCGTCCAATTCTACGAAAAAGTTCAACAATCACCGCAACTTTTATTTGCCCGTTCCCTCTCTCCTGCCTCCCTCCCTCCCTCTCTCTCTCTCTCTCTCTCTCTCTCTCTCTCTCTCTCTCTCTAAGAATAAGTGCAAGTGTAAGAATTCTGGTGCATCACCAGCGACGAAAGAACATCTCTTCCTGGTTTCTTCCGACGTCGCGTTCGTCTCTTTCTTGCATTACAAGATTCGCTACATCTGGCGCGCGCGCGCTGATTGATCGCGAAAAGATTCGTTCAAGAGTGTTTTAGCAAAGGTGGTATTTCCCTTTTTGCGAATGCTTCTGGAATCAGGCAAGGATCTGGAGAGGAGGCGAGCACTCTGCGCTTCTTCCCCCTTAGTAATTCCTTTTCGTAGAAGGATGCCGGTTATTGAAATACACTTTTCGAGCAATCGTTTTCTAGATTTCGGAAATTTCCAAGTATTGGAAATGGCAAAAAGTGAAGCGAAGCATTGCGAAGCTAAATTAATCGAAGCAGTTGAGAAGAATTGACGATATTCGCGAGAGGCAAGAGGAACAAAGGTTCCATATTGAAGCCATACCGGTTGTGTCGATTCGAGGCATCGCATCGTCTCGAATAATCGAGACGATTAGCAGAGCGAACTAGCTTGCCAAGTAAGTACGCGCTGTAAGTACGTAAAAAATCGGTGTACGTACGTAAGCGCAAAAGATGTGCGCCAGATACTGTGTTGCCAATGTCTGTTATCACACTGTCTCATCAACGAACAAGTTGCTGTATTATTTATCGTAGCTGCTGTCCTATAATAATTCCTTCTCAGAGATTCGTAGAGAATGGGAGGACGGGAGCGGGAGTGGAGTCTGCGTCAGGACTTTAGAAAACGTCGCTGCGTCACGCAAATGACGGAACGTGGCGTGGCGTGGCGTGGCGTGGCAGGGTGGTGTGGTGTGGTGCGGTGCGGTGCGGTGCGGTGCGGGGTTTGCAGGTGGGTACAGTTGAAGAAGGGACTTGGTTCCACTCAAATTTCTACTCCACTTACGGTTTAAGGAAGCCAGCCAACAGTCGGCTGAAGGTGGAGGAGGCAGGCACCTGCTCTTACCGTGCTAACGCGAGGTGTGCGCGTAATTACGAGGATGTAATCTACGCTATGTACGGCGAAACTTCAATCGTTATAACCGAGTTGTCTCGCAAGTCAGCCAACTGCTTAAAACAGTCTCAACGAATACATACGTCGCGTCGCCGAGGAGAGAGGCAGACTGGCTGCTGAACAGGGAGAGCCTCTCGTCCCTCCTCTCACCCTCTCGCCCTCTCACCCTCTCACCCTCTCACCCTCTCACCCTCGTCCTCGGTGCGTCGCAGCCTTATCCTTTATCTCTGACGCCACGTGACGGTTCAGTGACAGGCAGACACGTGCCCGAGCGCGTAAATTTGCCGGTGTCACGAGTGAATTATGAAACTTGGCTTTATTCCATAAATTAATTGTTGCCTAGTCGAATAGTCCCTCTATCGAGTGCATGTTGTTGATAAATATTCAGGTTAATCGTAACGGCGCGCGACGCGGTGCCGTACCGGTGCTGTGTGCTTGATCGATCGTCTGAGTTGGTCTCGCGGTACCAAGCGCCGACCAGCTGCCCTGTAATCGGCCTTTAAACGACCGTTCATCTCTCGATGATAGTCCGCGGTTCAACGAGGCTATTCGTTCTTGGAAAGAACTGCCGATTATTCCCTTGGGGAATGCTCTGCTGCTGTTATTTCATCTTCTTCCTGCTTCTTCATGTAGATGCCTCGGTACAGATTATCGATTTTATCGATTGATCGCGCACATCTGTATCCAGTAATGTACCCAACGCGTGGAAAGTCGTGGAAAGTCGTGAAAAGTCGACAGTGATTTCTACAGTTTTATTTTACAGTGATTCTCCGAAAAAAAAAAACCGAAAACTGACGCTCACCGGTGAGAGAAAAGGACAAGAACAAAAGCGCAAGAACGATCGTTGAAAAATCGTACTTCCTCGTACTAAAGCTACGAAGATTCCCACGAAGGAACCATTTGTCGCAGGAACCAACTCTGTGAATATTAATAATTAAACAGGCTGTCTCCCCATTAAACGTATCGCGGAGCAAGCAAGGCAACAGCCTTGAGTTTTCCTTTCACCGCCTCTCCCGGCAAACATATTTCATCCCGAGGCGCATTTTGTTAGCCGCGCAGTCGGCACGACAAGCGTACTCGAAAGGAGCCGCCACGTTCAAGTCGCACGGGAAACGTGAAGCAGGGAAACACCGGTTAGCCGAAACGAAACTGCTCATAACAACAACTCTCCCTGCGGAACGACGATGGCGCGTCGAGTTTTCCCACTCGAGGAAAGCGGGTGGGACGAGCGGCAGAGAAACGGAGAAGGAAAGTGAGACGAATTTCTGGGCTGGGCTAATATCGGTGGAACGAAAGGGACGAAAGAGACCCTTGCCTGCGTTCGAGCTGCGAGAGTTTCCCACCGATTGATTAAGCCATTTTCCGCGGTGTTTCTCGCGTTCATTACTTAGAGATGCTCCAACGGCTAGAGAGGCGAGAGACAGAGAGAGAGAGAGAGAGAGAGAGAGAGAGAGAGAGAGAGAACGAGAGAAAGAAAGTGAATCTGAAAGTCTGAAGAGAGAAAGGATGAGGGGAGAGCAAAGATTTCTAGTTGGGTAGACGGAAGCCTGGATTCAATCTGAAATGTCGGAAAATTAGATCTCAAAAGAGAAACTCGACTCTATCTCGCGCCATATCACACTTCGCCGAGACGAGACGGCTGCAAGCGTAGGATAGAAGAGGGTCGTGTATTGTGCAGAGTAGCTCCAGTGCAACCAAGCCTCGATATCAAAAGATACAGGTGAAAAGTCGAACCAACGAAGAGTGACGTGCGTTGTGCGTCGAAGAAACTATTTTGTCGGATACCTTTCCTTGCAGCAAGCATCATCGTGATCGATATACATACATACATACATACATACATACGTACGTACGTACGTACATATAATACGTATCTACGATCCGATATTACTCCTAAAAAATCTTTCACTTTCTCCGATCTAACACGGAGTGGTAAAAAGTAGCCTCAACTTCGATCAACAGAAACAACAGAAGTATACCCTGTACTTTTCTACTCTCCTCCAGACAAGCATGGTGACGCTCATTTCTCAGTTAAACGTCACTTTTACCGACTTTATTCGAACATCGCGATCTAGCACGATAACTCTGTTCTTCTCCAAGAGCGAAAATTTTATTTCACCGTGAATAAATAAAACTCCTACGTTGACGAGTGCGTTGAAATTTTTAAATTTCCTTGGAAAGGAAATGGGTCTCGTCTCGCTGCTCGTCAATTTTCTATAAGGTTATTTCTCTTCCACGCTTCTGAAATAAACAGACACACATAGAATGGGCGGGGAATGCAAATTTCATGCGCGCCTTCGGATCATCGGGTACGAGTTTCGCGGCTCTTCGACAAACCAAACTGCAAATTGAAAATTATGAAAAAACTTGTAATACGATTCATCTTCGTTGAGCGTTGAAGTGACGAGAACGAGATTTAAAAACATATCTCGAAATACCGTAGCCGAAATAGCGTGGCCGAAGCGTAACGGAAAGAGGATACCGTGCGTGATTTTCACTTGTTCGCAGAGAGTAAGCAGCGGTTAAGTAGCATCTATTAATAAAGTTCAGTCTCCGTTATGAGGAAAATGATCAAAGCTCAAGTGTTATTTCCGAGGTGTTCATAAGCGAGAGCTGACATTCCTGAACTAGCTGAGACAGCTTGTTAAGTTTCCTGGTATGCCGTGCTTCTGCAGCTTCTGCAGAAATACCTTCGATACTTGTACAGATTGTAACATCGTAGGTAACTAATACCTCCCTCCCCCTCCCGCGTTCACCGACCAAATTTCCATATTTCAGTTAATAACCGAGCTGTTGCTACGAATCGTGAAAGAAAAAAGAAGAAGAAGAAAAAGAAATCGTTACGAATCGTCGCAGACGTACGAGAGAATGTTGGCTCAAAAATCGTACGAGGTAAAAATTCCATCGACTCCACTGAACGGCGATGCTAATTTACGGCCAGTTTACGGAGATGTCATGTACCTGGCAGTCCGATACGTTAAACCGATGAAACCAGGTTCCCGTCGAGAAACCGGATCTCGCGTACCTCCTTTTCTTTCGCGCGCAATTTTTCTCGAGAGTTTACGTTGTTCCTACGGGTCGATTAACGGGCCAATCTGCGATACTGTACTCGAAACCGTGTTTGTTCAACTCGTTCGTACTGACTATCGATAATTTAATTTATTAAAGCGTCGATCGAATCGGTCACGATCGGCAAAGGAATCGTGTAAAAAAAAATTGTGTAAAAAAAGAAAAAAATTGCGGGAAATGCGTATCGAGACGTGTCGATACGTTCCGATCCGTCGTTGGAATCGACGTGCGCCGCAACCTATCGACGACACGCATCCTGCAACTTTATCGATCGAAATGGCGTAGGTGACACCAGGTTTCCAATTAGTTATTTCTCCAAGTTTCTCGGCTTACCACGATTCGCCCTACCGGTTAAACTGCGCGCACAGAGCTCTAGTTTCGACCGCTTAGTTACTGAAAATCCTCAAAGTAGCAGCCAACTAGCCAGCGTTCGACAGCCACCTGCGCCTAAATAAATAAACATCTATAAACGAACTCAGCTCCTTTGGATGGCTCTTTCGTCTCTTGGAAGATAAGAAATCAAAATCGAAATCGAAATCGAAATCGAAATCAAAAGCAGTTGCGATTAAAACAACTTTTATCCATCTCTGCTTCATCCTCCGGTCCAGCATCCACGTTATATTTTACTCTAGAGATTACTTAATTGCAACGCGCTGGGATAATTTCAAGAAAGAAATCGCATCGCGTGAACGTACCTGACTCTTCATCGGATCTGTATTAATCTGGCACATGTACAGTCCCTCGTCTTCCTTCTGCACGCTCTTTATGTGGAGATTCCACGTGGTGTGATCGCTGTGAGACACCGAGACCCTGTTGTTGTGAGTTATCACGTGATCGTGGATCGCCTGGATCGCCTTAGTATCCACTTTTAGCCAACCAACCTGTGGAAACATTTATTTATCCGTTAGAAGAAATCCAACTCAACGGGAAGAGATCAAACTCAACTGGGAGTTGGAGACAGTCTAACGCGTTGACATTGATTATACATTGGAATATTTCCGACATAATATAGCGTCCGATCTCAGATTTTGGCTACACTATCCTGCGTCACGTATAATTGGCGTCAATTTGTCATCTACCGTATTTAGCTTCCGATTAGTAGAACGAAATTGCATTTCCTCGAGTGAGCCTCTAGTCTTTGACTAGAGCAGAGCCAGGCAGAGAACAAGTTCGGTTTCTTCTCTTTCCTCGGGGCCCTGAATTCGAATGGTCGGGCTGTGCCGCGATGCGACGCGACAGGACGGGACGGGACGGGACGGGACGGGACGGGACGGGACGGGACGGGACGGGACGGGACGGAACGGGACGGGACGCTGGTCAGATCGAAGGGGTTAATGAGACGCGGTAGCAAACGCGGAGCAAACGAGAACGATCAGAGACGGGAGAAACGCCGTTGTTCATGGATTTCAACGGTCGAGAACACCGCAATTTCCCTATAGACAGGCCGAATACGGAATACAAACAAACCGGGGATACCTGCATAGATATGTAGGTGGTCGGCGCGTCGCGCGCGCCACACCGGCCGGAGAGACACGTACTCGTCTACACACGTATACGTATACGTATAGGTACGCGAGTAGACGTACACCCAGAGAAGATATCTATCTATATAGGCGGCGCGTACGCGTCTTCTATCTCCTTGGCCAAACTTCGTAGCGATATTTGCATTTTCCTTGGAATATTCGAAATCTCGGCAAGTCGCAGAGGCGTACTATACGGGCGTCTCGAGGAAACGCTTGTATTAATAGAAAAGGGGTTACCGGGTGTGCTCGAGGGATGTCGTAATGGTGTTCGAGATTGTTTTCCAAGAGTGGCTCTCGCTTCCAGAAAGGTGTAATTGAAATTTATTCCTGCCATAGAGCTGCGTGTATACCATCCGGTATAGAAATTCAGCAGACAACTACCAGTCTACGAGAACCAATTCAATCCGTTCGGAATGTCGGGAAACGTCGAACCACTGACACCGACACTGACGCTCGTGGGTATCGCGACATCGTCACTCTCCAATTACTCCCGTACACTCGTACGGTCTCTAACCTCTGATCTTTTCAACGATAACTTTCTTCGTTCATCATCTTTTCAACGCAAATTCTCACTTCTCGAACAATTCCGGCGAAATGCTGAAAATACGTACAAACGTACGTACGTACATGTATGTACACACGATCGATGCAACGCCAGCTGCTCCAAGACTCACAGACGGAGAGGACAGAGTTTTCATTCATCTCTGGCATTCAATTACCAGAAATAATCCAGCTGAAACTGCGAACGCACGTCGTGCTTCATCCGCATCTCATCAGTCGCGGACTACTGACCGTCGCTCGGCATTAAACTTTAAATGAAAAATTAGCAGCAGTTGCTCGTTACCACTTTACTCTCGCATAATATCGTTAGGCTCTCCTAATCAGATTATTTGTCTCTTTATAGCAGCGCCAAAGCGTTCTTAACGAGAGGAAGCTGGCTTGTTGCTACACAACTTCTCGCCCTCGCTTCTTCTGAGAAGCCGTTACCCCTTGAATTTTCAACGTCGCGCCGCCCCCTTTGTTAGTCGCGCCGTCCCCCGCCTTTCCATTTCTCCCTGATTTGTTCAAATGATTCTATATGGCACGCGTTACACGGCCGACCCTCGTTACGCTGAACCGTGCCCTTCTTCCACACATACGTACGTGTTTTAATTAATTTTATTCGCCCTCGTCGTTTTCCGTCCTACTTGAACCTGTCGTCGCTTTAAACCTGACCTTAAACCTGATTTCGATAATAAATAATTCTCCGCCAATCGTTCTTCGCAGCATCTTCCTATTCCAGCAACTTTATTCCTCCTATTTTCCTAAATTTCACGAGTGTACATTCATACATTTACACTTGGTTAGAGGACTTGCGATTAAATTGAATTTTGTAACGTCTTTGAAAGATTAATAATTTCCGACTTTGATCGAACCTTGGAACCTTGGAACCTTGGACGAGAGGAGAAGTAATTGCGCTCGGAATAATCCCAAGATGTGTAATCCACAATTTACGTACGTTGAAGAAAAATATGATAATAACGCAGGCAGATAATATCCAACCGGCGTTACTCGCTAAACACTGATAAAGATTTACTCAAATTTACATTCGTTCCTCCTCCAAGCTGGTTAAAGCGGAAATTTGGAACTTTTCTCAATTGTTATTCCTTCCCTTTCCGACGCTCTTTTTCCACGGGGTACGCGTAATGATATTGTCTTCATGGTTGCGGATATGAAATCCAATACGACAGGGGAAATGGCTCCATTTTTGTGTTCAAACACGAGGATGTGGCAGCAGGAAAGATATCGAATCAAGAAGAGTGCTTGTGAATTTAGCGATATACAGGTTGTTTGAGAAATTGGTTTTCTCAAGAAAGATGCTTTACTTGGACAAAAGAAGGCGATCTAAAATTCACTGAGATCGATTTTTCTGTCTGTACGTACCCGTCTCCCCAGAGTCTGGAGACTGGCGATTTTTACGAAAAGAAGCTCTCGAGCAGACACTTGCGCATCTTTATCGCAGATTTATAGCCCAACGGGTCGTTTATTTCTCAACGAATAAAAAATTGTCCGCCAGTTAGCGCGGACCAAACATCTGACCGATGTCGAGGCAACTCTACAAATGGGAAAACTTACCCTGTAGCCCCCCAAATGATTGACCAGACACGTGAATGTTGCGTCCCTTCCTAGCGATACCGTTACATTCTGGATAGTATCAGCAAATTCGGGTGGAAAAGCACCGCCTGAAACAGATACGACGCACGTGAGAAACTTTTCCTTGATTTGCATACATCGCTCGTTGTAATTTACAGACATGACGCCTTCATCTACTGAGAGACAGAGACACGGTCGATGATGAGAATCATCGAACCAGAAAATAAGAACAAAGACAGCTTTCGTCTCAGGTGAACGCAAGTTTTCCTTGTAACCACGGACGAAGTGGACGAGTCAATTCCGTAGTTTCAATTAATTAATAACGAAACGTTTAATTAATTACCAACTCTGTGCTTTTATCACGATAATTTCGCGATACGCGAAATGCGCCAATGAAATACTCGAACGTTGGATGAATCAATTCAATTTGTGGACGAATCAAAAACTAAGCGCGGAAATCGTTTCGAGAATAAAACGTAAGTTTGCACGTTCGATTATTTTGATATTTGACTTTAAATTTTAGTTATTGTTCAAGTATATCGATGCGCGTGTACCAACTTTATTTCGAATATTTTTCGCACGTAAACGACGACACTGTCGCCCCCTCTCTCCTTTACCGGCTGGATAGTCTGCGGTTGTAGAATGAACCATCCTCGGATGAACCATGGGTTAATTAACAGTTATTTATCGTCACTGCCGTTACATTCTCGCGTGTCTCGCTAAAATCTGTGTGTGTGTGTGTGTATGTATATATATATATATATATATATATATATATATATATATATATATATATATCCCTGTGCAACCAGCAAAGATGTTTACGAGTATTAACGCGTGGCCATTGATGCGTCCATACATCTATTGGAAAATGGAAAGGATGATATTGGTCTACCGGAAGACGCGAAACGTCCCAGCGTCGATGCTTCGTACTTGATGCAATTACATGTGAAATTTCACGTTTCATTTTAGTAGCGCAGCGCGCTGGAGGATAATTTGATGCAGAATAAACGAGCCGTGACTGTGCGATGCCTCGATATTAAATGCCTCACATTTCCTACGATATTAAAAGATACTCGATTAACCCTTCCCCCTCACTGAGCTCTCTATCGATAAATTTTCAAGTTATGCGCCTGTCCAAGTTACTTTGTCTCGTGTTGCTCGTGTACGCATTGCTTCGTAGCAGGCACCATTGAGGATTGTGAAATTCAATTCGGTTTCATAAAAAAAAAAAAAAAAAAAAATTCAACGCGTCGTGTTTGTTCTTACGGAAAACTCGTGCAAAGCTCTACAATTTCCATTCCATGATATTTCAAGATTCCTGAACGGAATCCTGGCACGTTGTTCGAAGATGATCGGGCCGTTGTTGCTTTTGGAATGATCGACGTCGTTTGTATTTGTTTCAACGTCCGTTCAACGTCCACAGGTTGAACAGGTTGTAAGCTAAATTATACGGTGTCAAAGAGATTCCAGAGTTTTTTCGTTTTGCTTTTTTTAGTACATCTCAAATCTTTATTCTTTATTTTCTGCTACGTGCTTTTAATACTTTTAAAACGAGAAATGCTCAATGTATAAATTTCAGCGCAAAAGTACGAATTCGGAAAGCACGATATTTTTAACTCGATAGCCACGGTATTTTCGATTATTCTGCTCTTCGGTCGTAACAAAACGCTGGTATTTGCGTATTGAAACATTTTCCCACTGGCAGTTCCCCACTAGACGTCGATTGCAAAATTTGTCAACTCGAGACTTGTAAAACTACTAGATCGGCGAATGGAATATTTGATGTACGCTTAATGAAACGTTTTTACATACGTTTCGCAGCAGTCGGTATTTGCTTCCCAACGTTCATGCGTGCTGGTAAATTCGATTTTCAACATTTCAAAGTTTCTTGTACGTTCTCGCTGATGGTGCGAAATTTTCAAGTACGCGACACTGAACAAATTCAACGTGATTTCGCCAATGAAAATTAATCGGTTCGTTCGTTGAAACGATTAGCTTACCACGGCGCACTCTGTTCAAATTCTTCAAATTCATCTTGTATCATTTTTAGTATCATCTTCGCGTGATCTATTCAGTAAGAAACGAATGATACTCCAATTTCCCAACTCTTGGCCGCAATTTTCTATTCATTCGCAAACAATTGACCGTGGATGGAAAAAAGCTTCGTGATTTCTCACGTTTGTTTCCAGATGAGCAAAGAGTCTCGTCCGTTCAACGTTGAGCTACTTAGTCGCAAATTGTAAACGAGCGTACCTACGTTCTTTTCTTTTCACGCTGCAGCAAAATGCTGGTCCCTTTTATTCGCTAGATTGGCCGACGATACCAACTTTTTCCTATTCGCGTCCGTAACTAAGAAATAACTAAGAAATATTCGATCGTAATCGTTCAACGTAACGTTCAAAAATAACAAGAAATATTCGAGGAAAAATAGTAGGAATCAGACTGCTTGCTCCGTCGCTTTTCATTAAACTATCCTCTTCTTTTTGTACCAAACGAGTTTACCGAGTAAGTTTCGGAAACACAGCCACTGCAGGGACTGAATTAAATCGCACGTTGCCGCAGATACCTACATACGTCACCGGGCGAGTTATTTTGCCAGTATTTTCCTTTAATTTAAGAAACTCTGTTTCACTCGACGTGAAACGTGCGTTCGTCACTCATTCACTCATAATTTCGAGACTTCAATCGCGCAACTCGGTGAGGCAACATTTCATTTTCGCACGGATTTTCTACATTTTATTTTTTTATTATTTTCATTTTTTTTTTTTTTTTT